CAAAGTATTTTATGTGCAAAGTTATATATATTTTATGTTCGGAGACTATTCATGAAAATAATGACTATCTAATAATATTACAAAGCATAAAAAGCCCTGTAGTTTATTTATGAAGCTAAGGATGCTATATATTTTTACCTTAAAAACATCAGTTTCTCATATTTATCTGCTATTAATTATCAAGCATTGAAAATGTAACATTAAAGTCTAATATCTTAAACATTTTGTCCACCCAATAACAATTCCATATTGCCTGTTAAGACATCGGCTTCCAAGATGACTGGCTTTATAATGTTGGGAAACGTTATCGCATCGTTTATTTACGATTGACGAACAAAATAATTACCTATATAATATTTGAAAACTTTATTTGCGATCGTAAAAACTTTGCTCTTTGTGCGCATCAAAAACTATTTCATTGTTGGCCAAGTGTCATAAACCGCTTTATCTCTCAAGTAGAAGGATTTCCATTTAAATGCCCCAACTCCATTATGTATGTAAATGCCAAAGCATTTCTGCAGCTCAACACACCCATTCGAGCGCCTTAAACATTACTTAAATACCAGTTAAGTCCGAGAACTTAATGTTTTATGATGTGTTCTACGCAATAAACGTTTTTGCTCTGCTTCGGAAAAACGCATTAAACTCTGGCCTGCCCAGCCTGACGGACATAAAAACTGAGTAGCGTCTTGCTATTGCATTTGTTCAATGGATTTCGTAATCTTTTCCATTTTCGAAATTCTTGTGTGGCTGTGTGGCTTTGCTTTGATTCAATTTTGCTTTTATGGTGGCCAATACTCGCAATTTTCGCCTTTGTTGAATTGGCTTTGCTCCTTCCCGGCTACAAGCGGGAAGCTTGTCAGCAAATTTGTGGCATTTGTCTGTGTCCGGAGCTTCTAAAAATAAATCAAAATGGCGCACAGGCCTTAAAGTTTGTCCACATAGTTCGATAGTGCCAGTACCAGACAAGGGTCAGGCAACTAAGAAAATTAGATTTTGAATTCCACAACAGCGCACAAAAGTATGCAGTACTTTATGTTTACTAGTTGATATGTTTATTTGAGGTGGGTACGTGTGTGTGTGTGTGTGTAAAAGTGGTCGGTCAGTGGCACTTTTCAATCAAAACTTGCCTTTTCCACTCTCATAAAATATTGACAAAATGTTACACAATTCGTATGAGTTGCACGCAAAAGTTATAACTCATACATAAATACCATATTCGATGATGGCCCCAGAATACTTGTATATGTCTGTAAATATATTTTTCCTTTTATGCTTGCATTTACGTAATGCTCGGTCATGTGATGGCTGAGAAGAGGAAGAAGAATGATGTTGGCTGCTGCTCCCATTGCATAATGTCGATGCCATTAACCTTTCGCATTGAAAATAACCATGTCTGTGTATATGTGTGTGAGTGGCTGTGTGTGTGTATGTGTGTGTGTAGTTTATGTTGAACATATTTTATTGATTACATTTCGTTCTCTGGACTCGTGCCTTTGCCCAACTTTATGAGATTTTGGAGCGCAACCCCGCAGCCAGTCAACTATTCAGTGCATCTGTACTATACAAGTATGTGGCATTCTGTGGTTTTTGTTTTGATTTTTGTGTGGGTGGTTGCTTACTGCCTTTGCAACTCCGTCTGCCACATCCACATCTACACATCAGTTACACACACTCGTATGTATGAGTGAGTATGAGTTATGTAAGCAAATAAATTGCTTATTTGTAGCGACAATTTGCGGTAATTTGTGATTTCCCTGCATGGGCGTCTAAGTGTGGGTGACATCATTTTTCGCAGCAAGGGTGGATTTCATTTCCCTTTTCTGCTTGTCAATGCCTATTAATTAAACATATTTTCTGCTTTGACTGCCTTCTTATGCTGTGGCATATTTCATTCTACATACATAGTACAAGTGTGTGGGGGCATGCGGGAAATGCTTGATAAATATCATAGACATGTGCACATTTCACAGTCGCGCATCGCTTAAAGCGCAGAGAATGCGAACAAATTTTCGGAATTTTCACGGTCTGTTGGCTTCCGAATTTGGTTTAGTTTCCTCCAATTCAGACTCATAATCAGAAGCGGAATGTAATAAAAAGCAGACTGTCAATATTATTATTAAAGCCAAGAAACATTGGAATTTTAATTCCAGTTAATCATTTTATCAATTATTTCACATTTAATTGGTTGAAAGCAAATTAGTTACTGACTTTTTGTTTAAAAAAAAGTACGTAACTGGAGCTTACAAATCCGCTCGACGAACAGTGCGATTAAGTGGCTTTCATCGCTGCCTTCTGCTCTCCTTCTTTTTAAGTAATTTCATTTTAGACTTTTCACACTCTAATCAGTCAGGCAGCCTTTTCCGGCAGAATGGCAAACTGTGGTGCACAACTCTTGATTACAATTTATTGACTTTTTTTGTTGCCTGCTTTTATGCTAAGCCGGCAACTGAGCTTCTTTTTTTTTGTATTTTTTTTTCTTTTTGTTTCGCCCACTCTAAACATGTAATCCTTTTCTGACTCGTTTGCTGCTCGCTCAGCATTTGCATATCCCCTTTGCTGTACTGTGTCCGATGCTCCTCCGCCTGCCGCTGGCCCGCAATTTCCATTTAACGTGGTTGTATGCATATCGTTAACAAATTGCAGGCTCAATGCGCCGCAGCGAGCGCTTTGTACGCCATTTTTTGGGGCCTTTCCTGGCCACAGCTAGCATCGGGGCTACGCCTTTGCTTGCCTTAACTCGACTGCTAACTTGGCCATGTAAGCTAATACCCAGCCAATTTCCGTTGCTAGTTTTTTCCAGGTAACTCTTTACTTGCTTTTTTTGTTGTCGTTGTTGGTGAATGTGTGTACGTGTTAGTGCCTTTTGTATTTCCGTTTTGGAAATTAGAAGGCGCGCTTTTTGTCGCTCGCGCTGTGGGTTCTGTCCTGTACTGTGCTATCCAATCTTGCCCGACATTTTCCATATAAATTTGTATAAAAGCTTAGGCAATTTTTCGTGGGCCAAGCCACTCATTTACATATTTGACACATTCAAAAATACCCTCAACGCTGTTGAATATTGTTGTTGCCTTCTAGTGTTTACTTGACTCTCCCCTTCCCCCTCCCCTATTTTATGAGCTGTGACTATGAATTGCCTGTCGCATTTGTACAGCAAGCTTGAAGGCGCAGCTGTTTGTTTGCTATTTCTATATTTGTGTGTGTGGGTGCTTGTTGGGGCTTAAGCCTTTTTAGAAAATTTATAAAATAATTTCAAAATAAATTGACATTTGGGCTTTTAAATTTGGGTCAACTGTGTGGTGTGTGTTGGGCATTGGGTATTAAATGGCTTTGGCGCTGTGGCAAGTAATGCGGTTGACATGGTTGGGAGGCATTTGGTAGGCTAGACCAATCGATAATACCACACACCCACTACCACTACCAATTGGTGATAAGCAATACGAAAACATCAGCATTCAAACCAATTTGCTATCAATTGTTTACCCAACTCCCCCCAGCCCCACCTCAGCTAAGGTTGAGGCACACTCACAGAAATGTGAAGCTCAAAATTCATTTAAATACTTTCTAGACAATTACGCTTCGACACAAAAGTGCACTTAAGTTGCAAGACGGGGTCACAAAAAAGGGTAAATGTATTGTTTTTATTGGCGATTTATTAATACCCATAAGACTTTTGTGTCTATTGCTAAGACATTTTAATAATTTGGTTTTTATTCTTGTAGAAAATGCTTAAAAATGATCAATTCAAATAACGAGTGAAATTATGGTAGCGCTTTGTATTATGTACACTCAAAAAAAAATTTCAAATTGAACTAAAACATATTTAATTACTGATTTACATCAATGACTAATATTCAAAACAAAGTGTAAATCTAATGCTCAGATAACAAATAATTAAATAAGTAAACAAACAATTTAAAACTTTAAATTGAAGGTTTTTAGTTGATTTCAATGGAAAACTTCAAATAATTTTATAACTAAAGAATTTGGAAATTTATTTTCTAATACAAATACTCTATATAAATAAATAAATATAATATGCTTTCGTAATGCATTTCGTCATTAGTAGAGTCGTCAAAAAAGTATAAGAGTATATTTTATAATTAAAATAAATAATAAATAAAAAAAATTTATATTTTAATATTAAACTCGATTTTGAAATGTGCATCCTATGCCGTGTAAACATTTTAATTTGCGTGTGTTTCTTTATGAGTCCATCTTGCTCAACAACTCTGGTCTACCAAATATTGTGTAGTAGGATAAGTACCATCTTAAATCTCTTAAAATCTCTAGTTGTATAATAAGTAGAACACATTTCTTTTATCATTTTATATAAGTGGTATACGAGTGTAAGGAATATCATTCGAGTCCAACTCAACACTCTGTTGAAGTTGTTAACCATTTTCTTCTCTAGTGTAGTTAAGCCAAACGGACTTTAAACTTGTCTGTACAATATCTTGTGGCCCACAAACCACTGGCGTTGATTACTGGCCAACCACTGGACACACACAGACACGCACAGACATGCATGCATACACTTAGATGTACACACACACTCAAGCACTGAATGTCTTAGCTAATGGAGAGCATAGTTGAATGAGAGGAGAGGACGAGTCAAAACTGGCACGGACAGCATCTGCTGAGTGTCACGAGACTATGGCCTCGTTGACTTTTCAACATGCTGTGTACTGCCCCCTCCCCTAGTTGTGTAGAAGCCACAGAGACACAAGTCCACAAGTCGGCGCCACTTCAACGTTTATTGCAGCAAATACATTTTGACATGAATTTTTGGAAAAATTAATTTCATTATGGCTTGGCAGTGGGCTCCCTCTTGAGTGCTTCGTGTTCGTGCCACACTTGTGTAAAAGGCTTTTCGTAATTGATTTTGCATAAAAGCCAATTATAGCATTATGGAAGTGGCCACTTTAGGCGGTTGGTCTGAATGTGTCAAGCATGTCGCACTAATTTATACTCTCCCTCCCTCCCCCTCTATATTGCAGCAATTTCCCGCGAAGACGGCGAGGACTCCACACAGCACACGCATCATCCAATCCATCATCATCACCATCGCGGAGGACATGGTGGCCATCATAATCACGGTAATAAAGTTCCATACAACGGATATAACTCGGAGGAGTATTTGGACCGCTTGGAACCAAATGGCAATATACCCGCTGATAAAACAAATTGCAGATATGGCGGTAAGTGAGGCAATAAAGCTCTATCTCTCCCTTCACTATACATATATGTATTTTTAAGCATTGTCATTCATAAAGATGTATTTAAATTAATTGCCAACGCTAATCGAATCAATTTAAGAGCACGATTTGCTGCTTAGACAGTGAAACAAATTTCGCGATCTATCAGTTACTAAGTTTTACAGAAAAGTAATAAAATATTGAAGGATTTGCTTGAAACCCTTTATTGATTGATTCCTCAATTGAAAGAAGAAAATGGGTCACAAGATATGGATACCCTGAAATCGAAGGATGAACTAATATACTGAAAATTTGGAGTGTAAGAAGCCGTCTGTCTGTATGAACATCAAAAACTTTTAAGCTATAGCTGCTGGGAGCATCAAACCTATCAATACGCAGAGCAAGCGTAATACAAAGCGTATATGGCCTAGAAAATATCTCCAAAAATTTGTCGTTTTTTTCGTAAACAAACTTCGTATTTCAAAGTTAATAATATAACTGTCATGGGAATGATCTGTGCAATCAATTTTCCTTTAAATAAAGGATATTTGTTATGTCTGAACTGAACGCTGGGAAGCTAGGAAGACTGCAATTTTCACTCAAGTTTTATGCTGAAGAAGCGGTTTTATAGAAAATGCGACCTGCAAGCTACTAAAAAGAACCTTAAAGCATGATTCGATCGTGTAGAAAATTGAACTTGAATTGTGTTTCATGTTTGAGCAAATTTCTTCAAACTCGTTCCATTGTCTGAACAGCACTTAAGCATCGTCCAAAAAGTAATTTAATGAAATTTCAAGAGCATTTTCTTGGCGTTTAATTTATGCGTGTCTTTGCTGCTTATTCTCCATACCGTTGCTGCTGTTGTTGTATTTTTGTTGGAATTGGCGCTTTTTTTGGCATTGCTTTTGGCCAAAATTAGCTGGCATAGCTAGCTAGCGTGTCTAATTATAATCCCCGCAGCTTATACTATATAGTGGGAGGCATTCCCCAGATGCTTTGGCCCACGGAGACAGACAAATGATGCCTCCCTCTCTCTCTATCTATATCTCACTGCTCTGTACTTCATGCCCCTTCCACATTTCGTGTGTATGTGTGTGTCTGTGTGTGGGTGTGTATGGGTGTGTATGTGTGTGTGTGTAGTTTCGACAGTTTAGCGCTTAATTTATTTGCCACGCATTTTTCTGTCTGTTTTGCCTGGTCGGGCCATTTATCAAATTTTTGTCTCATTAGGCTACACAGCAGTAAGAGCTGTAGAGTATTTTGCGCTACTTATCTGTTAGAACGCAATTTGGTAATATCATCATTTAAACGCATTTTAAATGCCCTTTCATATTTCAACCGATAATCCTTGTTTGGTTGTTCGTTGTCCTTGGCAGTGCCATCATTTGTGCTTGTCTGTCAGAAAGCATCAAATAATGCGTTTTCCTTTGCGCTCCACTTGCCGTTTTTCTTTGTTGGCCGTTGTTGTCATAATTGTAAATTGCAATTTTATGCAAACAATACATAACAGAACAGTACAGTACAGTACAGAAAGGAGCAGCAGGGATGAACAGGAAGGGAGCGAAGCTATACGAGTACGGGAGCAGCCTGCATCGTTGACATGTTTGTTGATAAGGCATAGAGAAGGCGCCAACCAATGTAATGCCATCATTTCTTGTTCTTGTTGTTGCTCTTGTACTTGAAATTATTATTATTATTGTTGTTGTTGTTATTGTCCTTGGGAACATTGGCGTAGCGTTGAGTAGGAAGACAAAGTGAATGGGAATGGGCATGGGTGAAGGGGAATGGGCATGGGATTGAAGAGGCTGGCACTCCCAAGCAGGCAAGGCGTAACACAATCGGTCATAAAACAACGGAAATGAAAATATTAACAAGCAAATGCACAACAACAACAACAGCAGCAACAACAACAACAAAAGTAGCAGTAACGGTAACAGCAGCCAGCAACATGCAGAATTATTCATAACCAAATGGAAATATACATGCTCCATATATCTTCAGTTTAACTTCAACTTGCCTTTTGTCTTCCATGCACCCACTCGTATGTACATATACTTGTATATGTGTGTGTGTGCATGCCTTGGTGTATATGTGTGTGCGTTTCCACTTGGCGTGGCACGTGAGCTGAAACTGCGTGCACTTTCCGCTCGCTACTCTGAAGGCCTTTTGGCATTTGCAAAATTGTTGCTAACGTAATGCCAGCCGCCTGTCTCTGCATTTGGCGCTGGAGGTGGCGGCTGTGGCGGTACGTTTTACCGTTACCTGCAACTATGGCTGCCAGTTGCCAACACTCATCGCTAGTTGCTGTACCTTATGTTGATGGGGGAGAGCCAACTACGAGGGGCGTTCCCTTGGTTACTTGGAAAACTTGCTACTTGACAAGAATGTTAATTAATAGACAATATTTACGGCACTAACCAATAATTAAATGCAACGGAGAGAGATATTCAAACGCTAATTAAATGCACAAGTGGCAGGAAAATCGTGAACGAACAAGCCTATTACTTATTGACTTCCCCTCCTCCTCTCGAGGAAAGGTTTTCAATTTTTAATTGCAAACAAATTGTCATTTGTGCTATTTAGTCTAGCTTAGGTCTAATATACTTCTTTATACCCTGCAGCCAAAGGGTATATTAGTGTTGTGCAAGTGTACTTGTAACACACAGAAGGAGGCGTGGCAGACCCCACACGGGAGAATGACAAGACAAGTATAAGAGCTGGAATAACCAAATTTGTTATCCAGATTCTCCTAAATCCGAGAAAGCAGCTGAAGGTTAAATGTTAGAATTAAGTAATATTTCGCTCTCGTAAAATCTTGAATTAGTTTCGAGTACGCAGAAACTTCCCGAAAAGGTATAACGACATTCTTGCAAACGTTTGTCGACAACCTAAAAATGTCATCATTATCAGGCTTGGCAGAAAACAAACACTAATTTATATAGTCCCAAGAGCTTAATATTGATTTTAAAGAAGTGTTGTTGGCTCGCTTTTACATACAATTTACTAATTGTACGTGGAGGAAATAAAATGTTATATTTCACGATAGCTTAAAGCTTTATCTGTTTGTCCATAAATCTTGCCTTGATTGGTTCTCAACTTTCGAAATGCCAACGACCTTTCGCCCAATCTGTAGTTTCATGTTCTATTAATAAAGTTTGCAAACAACCCACCCATTATAAAGTTATATAACTCACAATAAATTATACACTTTCAGAGGCGAAGCGGTCGCCGCTTCGTTATGCAACAAAAGGGCGCCTCCAAGTCCCCACCACCACCTCCCTCCTATTGCTGCGCTCAACCAAGCAAAAGCAATTTCAGTTTTTCATGCTACTTTTGTTGTTGTCTTTGTAGCTGTTATCATTGTTGTTGTTGCTGTGATTATATGATTTATAAGTTATCTTCAACTCATCGTCGTTTGTTTGCCATTGAAGAGGAGAGAGCAGCAGCAATGTCAGTGGCAATGGCAATGGCAGTAGCAGTGGCAGGATATGCGCAATTTATTTCCAAAGCTCTTACAAAGATTATTGTTTATATGCGCAAATTATGCGAAACACACCCCACATCCCCACCCACCCCACCAATCCGCTCACTCAGCAGACACATTTGTTGCCCATCAGCAAAAGTTTGCAACGAGAAAATGTGAAACTCAAAAACATATTTTTTTAAATCGCATAAAAACATTTGACAAACTGCCGGGCGTGCCGTGCCTTCTACTTTTGCCTTAAATGGCTGCCACATAAGTGCTATACATGCGTATATTGTAAATCACATTTAACAATTATGCGTGACATATAAAAATATTTAATTTGCCACAAAATGCAACTCAGGGTGGGTGCGTCTGCCGCTTCTTCCCCTATTCTGCATCGCTTCTGCCGCAAAGTGATAAACTGTGCGAACTTTTATGAGCACTGTGGTGAACTCTGACACATCCCGGCAGTTCGCAAATAAGAGGGGCAGGAAATGGGCTCTCTGAACCTATGATTCTGACATTATAAGAACTAATGCTGTAAAAGGTCGATTTGAAATACCTTTAAGACGATGACACAATCAGATATTTATAAATATAAAGAGCAACTGATGTACTGCTACCAATCTGATAATCTGGACGCATATGAAAAGCTAAGAACAGACTAAGGAATATTTATTTTATTCATTACCTAGGGAATCACTTAACAGTGGTTTCTACGTGCGATTTATTACGAAATCGGGGTTTGTGCCAAATAATGTGAAAGAGTTTAATGAAACTTCTTCAGACCTGCCCAACTAAAAACAGCAAAACCTTCTCAAATGGAACTCGATGCAGAGCCCGATTTCAAAAGAAAGGTTTAACCAAAAATGGAGAGGAATCGGACATAGAGAACACAGAGATACTCTGTGTTTCTGTCTTCACTTTATTTCTCTTATATTTTTCCCAAGCCGGAAAAAAATTTAAGATAAATTCGTTATCTTCAGGATTTTCGTATATTCGTAATTCAATAATGAAAGAGTATTGTTGGGAGTGCTGTCCCATTGCTGTCATTTGAAAGAAGTTTAAATGAGTCATAACAAGTTTCTCATTATAATCATCCAGCATACGACTACTTCCCCTCACAGTTCTGTACTAGTACTGCTGTACTGCTGGTTCTTGCTGCTGGCATTTCTGAGCCAACGTTCACAGACTAAGCCTTTCAAGTGTCTTCGACGCACCTGTAAGCCAACTTTATAGACGGGTCTTCCCAAATACAAAAAAACGCAGCTTCTTTTTATGCGCAAATAAATCCTTTTAACGCTTTATTTGGCTTTTGACGCAGTGTGTCAGGATGTGGTGGGAAAGGGAAGTTCGTGGTGGTGGCTGCCAACTTTGGGGCTCGGTTTGTTTATTTTTATTTTTCACTTGGCAACCAGCACAACACGCATATATACTCGTAGACATACACATATACATACAAGTATATATGCATAGCTAGACAATCCCCTTTTGCAAATATCCATCCTCAACCCACCAGGCTGGCGGGCTGCTCAAC